GTGGGTCAAAATCTAGGGCGGGGCTTAATTACCTATGCAAATTGATGGGAACTGGACTGTCTATCATGGGGGAGTCTGTCACCTCACATCGATATTGTTTCACATATAGATTTGATAAATTGGTCAACGAGTCGGAAGCACGGCCTACACTGTATAAGAAATACTTTTTTCAAATGGAAAAACGCTTTGGATATTGGTGAGATATGTGTGAAAAANTTTGATAAATTGGTCAACGAGTCGGAAGCACGGCCTACACTGTATAAGAAATACTTTTTTCAAATGGAAAAACGCTTTGGATATTGGTGAGATATGTGGAAAAAATGGCCGCAGGGAAATCCTTGGTGATGATGTTTTTATGCTATTGCGCGGTACATACAAATCTTAATTGCTTAAAATTAGACATCAGTATTGTTCAAAAGAAGCCGCAAAGTTCCTAAAAAATCTTGGACGACAACACATTAGTCTCGGTCACAACCGGCCGCACGGGCTCTTACGACCCGTTTGAGTCCAATTTTTGCGGAGAATCTCATGTGCCACGCAAATCCTTTATGCGAAATTTCGAGTTCGCACGTATGTAAGCACGTACGGAGGATGTTGAACATTTCCAACAGATTCTACGTCGCAAGCAATGAAGGAGAAAGTGCCCTTTGCGTGTTGAGTACGGCGCACGCCCTCACATCTATAACGAAGTAAGTCGAAAACACGGCGGGACTGCGAGTATAAAAGGCGTGCTCACGACGCATGCTCGTGTCTCTACAATTTCGTTGTGCAACAATTTTCAAAAAATTTGAATTTTGCTCAATTCAGATTCTAATATGCCTCCAAAAGACAAGGGAAAGAAGCTTTAAGAGCAGAAAAGAAGGTTGGAGGAAGAAGACAGAGAACGAAGCGCTTTAGCACTGCTTTTTTTATTACTTAATAATTTAACGAATTCATCGTTGCCTGAAGAAATGACATTTTGCAAAAACATTTCTCAAAAATCACAAGGAAGAGCTGTAGGCCTACGTACTGTCAAGCTGCACACAAAGTCTGAGATCGACTTCGTGTAACGTTCTTTATTTTCCCCATTATATTTCGTATAAAATGTGTCAATTTTGGGTCCCAAGAGGGTGGTGCATCTTGAAAAAAAAGCATTTATAGAAAGGGTTTTGAATCACGAATTGTGTTTACAAAGCCAAGGGAGTAGTGTTTTTGCGGAGTATCGGAACGCGGGAGTATCAGTGCGGGGGAGTATCGATGCGGGGACGTAAAGAAGCGGGGGAGTATCGGTGCGGGGGAGTATTGGTGCGGGGATGTAAAGAAGCGGGGGAGTATCGGTGCAGGGGAGTATCGGTGCGGGGACGCATCATGTGGAAAGCATATATGCAACTTGATGTCATTTTTTGTGCTTAATTTTTGGCCGAGATGTGGCAGTTGTAGCAACGTACCCTAAATATCTGTCTTCTCCATCTTCTACTGACCTCTCTGAACACCCCTCACCTGAATTACATAATAATGCACAGAATACCCTGTGGGACTTAGAATCATAATTTAGACTGTGTGTTCATGCCTAGCTCCTTTACTAATTATGTGACAAATTTCTTTCCTTTGGCATTATTTAGTGGCTAAAAATCAAGTCGGGCAACTTAATTATGACTCATTTATAAAAATGGTGACTGAAAAAAAAAGGACAGACATGGCAGGGGCGGATCCATGATTATTTGAAGGGGGGGGGACAACAGGCCTTGGATGCGAAGCCGACCATCGCCCTCTTGGTGTAGGGTTCGGGGCCTGGTCAAGGGCCCCCAATTTTTTGTGTGTGTTTTGGAGAGCAAACAGTGTCCTTTGGTACGGTTTAGAACTAGGCCTATATAATTTAGCTAGTCAAAATTCTAATTTCAAGATATATTTTTCAGAAACCGAAGGGACCCCCATGGACCCCCATGACCCCCCCTCTTAACCCGCCAATGCATGCATTTGATATAAATGAGATAAATAAAAGATATTTAAAAAAAAGTTTATTCATACCTAGGTGTATAGCTATCTGTGTGTAAATTTATAAGTCTCTAGCTTAATTAGAAAAAATATTGTGTGCAACCCACACTAACGCCGCGGTTGTTACGCTGAAAACACTTTGTCAATGCGGTAAAGTTTATAGGTGACACACGTACGTAGGGGTCTAAACATGATCCTTAGCTAGATAATTAAATTGTTCTTTTTGTTCTTTTAAAAAGAGACTCTATACTCTTTAAATTAAAATTTATTGCGAAATTATAAAATCATCAACCAGATAAAGAGGCGCACGTACGGCTAGCAACAAGTGATCTGCAATCAATAGTGAACAGCAAAGTTTCATAAATAAACCACTAGGTGTCACTACACGTAAATCCTAGCCAATCAACAAGAGCGTGGTTTTATTTCGCGCCAAGGACGATTGTTTACAACCTAAAAATTACTTGGATCGGCCGATATGAAGAGTTTTTAGTGGACTTGAAGTAAGTTTTTATTTAACCAAAGTCTACCGAAAGAGCACTTTTTGGTTTTGGTGCTCATGTTGGAAAACTGAAGCAAGATCCATCCAAAGTTTTGCAGACACTTTTCCCGGCAAATTTCTAGGGACTTTAAAGATGGCCACAGCAAGTTCGAGACGACGATCCAGTCCACTTGTATCCCAAGGTTAGTTGGTTAACTGAACTTTTTTTTGTTAAAAGTTGCAAGTAAAGATTTTATGTAGCTCAAGTAACCCCAGCGTCGTATAAACCTAATGCAAACCTTCTTGTTTGGAAACTTTTTGTAGTAGGAACCCGATAACTGCTAACATAAGTACATGTTGGGTTTGATAATGATAGGTTGTTGTCGTTGATGCAACTTTTATAGATGTTATACGCAAACTTTCTAATGCATTCAAAGTTTACTGCCTCGCAATCTGTGTATCATACATATAGTTCGACATTAAGCTAGCAGCTGTTTGAAACCAAGAGGAAAGGTAGGATCTGCTTCAACATCTTAGGCAGTTTTAAGGAACATGGTGCTGGTGTGGGGGAGGGGGGGGGGGGGCTGAACAAAGGCCACCAACAGTATGGAGCCAAATGATGGAAATAGTGTGTGTGTGTGTGAAATAGTGTGGTTGGTTTGTGTGCATGTGAGCGCACATGGGAGATAAAAAAAGGCAATTTTCCATGATTCTCATTTAATTGGGGACGGAACCCCTTCAACCTATTCAGTACCAGTGTGGCATGATAGGCCCGTTCCGTGACCAAATCGTTCTGCATATGCGCATTAAGGGTAGATCGCAAGAAGGAACTTCCGGTATGACAATGTCGTCCTAAGTAGGCCCTATGTTTGCACTGAACTATGATCTTTCAATTCATAATTCAGCGGTTTTCGTCATGAGAGAGTATGTATTTGAAAATCTTATAACTATACAGGGGAATGTTGGTAATGAGCTTTTGATCATGACTGAACTGTTTTGCTCTGTGAGAAAAACGTAGTAGATCTAAGACTCGTACTAGTATAAATGTTTTCACTCTACAATGTTCTTTCAATTCAGAGTTAAGTAATTTTCGTCAAAAGCAATTGTGTGTTTGATAATAATATATTTTTTCTCTACGGTAAAATGTTGGAAATGCATGTGCAGCTACGTACTGTAAGTCAACATTTATTCAGGGACTGCTAACCCCCATGAATAATCAGTCAGAACGGTTTATTCACGACGACGGTTTATTCACGTGACACCAGAACGATAAGGGATATTAACTTAATTATGTTTGTTTTTCTAAAAGAAAACAATACTTTGTCATAAAGAGACTTATGTTTATATTCATCCTGAATAGTTTCTAGAAGTTAAACCAAGTTTTTTGTAATTTCATCAAGTAGAATATTAGATAACATAACTTAAGGGTTGTGTACTGTCAATATATTCTGTATAATAACATGTAATGTGGAAAACTGGCTGTTGTGACAATGCACCATTTAAACAGTCTGTCACAAAAAACTTTCAAGATTTCTTGTACAAGTATTTGGCAGTGAGGCTCTAACATTTTAACTAGTGCCTATTTATGTGGGCAGTTTTCTTGGGCAGGCTGCATTTAAGACAAAGCTTATTGAAAATGTTTATCATTCTTATTATTGTAATATGAGTTAACATACATCCTGCTTCCAAAGTAGACATGTTTTAGTGTCAGCAATAGGGCTTGTTTACTGTATCAACACTGACGTTAAGACTCACACCTCTTTATGTAACTGTCAGCTAGGTTTAACAGCTTGGCACCTTGGGAAGAAATGATCTCAAAATATACTCTAACTGGGATCACATCATAGCACTTAAGAAGATGAGGATTAGACCCCATTTCCAGAGATTAGATCGATCTATTTTAGATCGACCTAACTCCCTGGGGGTTCATGCTAAATAGCTGTCAGCCGGGCAGACACGAAAGTTAATTACCCCCTTACAGCTTGTAGTAGGCGGGACGGACATTTAAGCCGGATTATCTGACAGTAATCTAGTGAGACTCCCCGCGGGGATAGATCGATCTAAAAGCTCTGGGAATACAGCCTTAGATTGGACTGTGTTGTTGTGTAAAATTACAAAACCCTTCTTCAGACTGCTTGGGTGCAACCCCATACCAGGGCAACAGATTGATAGTTTATCATAAGATATTGACAGATATGTCATTTGGAAAATTTCCCTATAATATCTGCCACCCTGGTAGAGGATACTTGGCTGCCAGGTTTTCTACATTTTGCTTTTATTAGTAGACCCGCCTTACAAGAACAGTACCAGGGAAGCATTCTGCTGTAGTTTAAAAATTAAATATTTGACTTTAGAAAGGTATGGCAAAACTATGGGAATGGCAGTTACTGACCTGCAGTCATATTAACCTCTCCCCCCCCCCCCCCCCCATCACTAAGGTGCTAACCTGTTTAAGTCTGAGTAATCACTACCAAAAGTACCTACCTTACCCTCCCCTCCACCCTCAGGTGATAATTAACACTGTCAGTAATCATTGTCTGACCATGGCATTGTCTGACCATGTGGGAAGTAGCACTGTGAATACTTCATCCAACATTATATTGTGTGCCCATTATAAGGGCTTTCACAAACCTGTCAGTTCAGGACAAGCCCTTATAAAGACACCTAATTTTATGGTCTAGTAGGTAATTTTGTGGGATGTTTAATTAATTTTTATGCCCCAGGCTACTGAGAAAACCCCAGGCATATTCAGATGTCCTGCATTAGAGCATGGGGTGCCAAAAGCAAGTGGTTTCTGGGGTTGTTTAATTAGAAGTCATACTTGCCATCAAAGAAAAGTGACTTGTTAATAGATCACTTGCCCAATGTAAGATGGGTTTTTAAAAAGATTTATACTTTCTGTCCCTGTTGCATTTCAGTGTCAGTCAAGCTGTCAATATATATGTCCATTGACAACTTTGCTGCATTGTTTTTCTTTCATAGCTCTTGGAGATGCCAGTCGTCGTAACAGGAGCAGAATGAATTTAAACCGTCTCCTGGGAGAAGATCCGTTTCTCACCCCACCACCCGATCCCAATGAAGAGATCATCAAGATGAGGAGCGTGAGAGCTGCAGCACAAGTAGCGAGAGAGAAGACACACTCTTTATCTGTGAAGGGTATGTGGAATTGAACTCCTGGTGGTCAACTTGAAGTCATTTTGTCTCATATTAACATATCTTACTGGGATGTCGGAATTCAAAGAATCAGTTGAGGTGCACTGTCAGGACTGGACAAACTCGGCCAGTGCAAATGATTTTTGTCTGATGTCTAGAATGAAGGTCGCACTTTTTTGCAAATGCAAGTGACTTGCTAAAACATCACTTGCCCAACATTAATTGGCAGGTTTCTAAATCTTATCTTAAATAAACATGATCAGAAGATTCCATGAATTACACATATATTAAAAAAGCATACAGAAAAGTGCATGTCAATTAGGCAAGTGATTTATACAAGGTGCTCACTCGTCTGTAAGTTTGTATTTGCTATTGCGAGTGAGTGGAGGTGTCATTCCCTTGCCTATACTTATTAGTAAAGTCGGGGCAATTCATTTCATAGAACAACTCGACTTCACAAATTTTACATTAAAAAAGTCTACAGAAAGTCCACAAATTCTAACAGAGAAAAAATTTCCTGGATTTTTTATTTGATGTTATTTCTCAATCTCTCAGAGAGGACTCCAGATGTGATGCTTCTAGACACTCCCCCGAAGACACCAAGAGATGCTGCACAAGTGACACGAAAGAGGCTTGTGTTGTCACCAAAGAAACAGGATAAGGTAAGATTGAGAGGAATGTTTTATACATCCTGAAGTTTTTTTTTATTTTTACACTTACAGTATTGATTAAACTTCAGCAAAATGAGGCAATTTCACAAATTGGCAGGACTTTTCCTACCTAAACCAGGGCCAGTGAGTTTTTTTTTCACAAGATTGTCAAAGATATTTTTCTAGATAATTATCATTTCTGTACTGTACTCTGTTCTGTACTGTGACCCTGGAATGAAATGTAAATTCTAGTTTCAAGATCAGTTGCCCACTGTGTCTGATTTACAAAAATGTAATTATAGGAGTGCAGCTGAGGTGCATCAGATGATTAGAATACATCAAAATTCCTGGAATTCTTTAATTCCCGAAAAATCATAATATGTATCTATTATATAAATTCATACTTTTCTTTGCTAGGACCCGTCTTCTCCAAAGAAACAGCGTGTCCAGAGAAGGAAGAAACAGACCCCCTTGACCACAGAGTTACAAGCTTTGACCAGTGAGCAGTTGGTCAGTGTAGTGGAGAACATTGTCCAGATGCACCCTGAGCTAGAACAGGTATGACCAGCAAAATGTGGCTTTTCACACTAGAGGTTTAAAAATTGTTTTAAAATGTTGATACCTTAAGAATGTAAGTTCTGAAAGCAGTTAATGTCAAAAAGTAGGTTTCTTTGAGTAGCTAAAATTATAATTCTGAGAAAAACGTGAAAAGTTGGTTCAATTATGGCAGTGTTAAGTGATTACCCCATGTTAGTTATTGTTGAAATCTGCTTGTTGTAACTATGAAATAAACACGTAATGTTTTATTTCTATACGGTCTTGTACTGAACTGACAAATAGGTTAAATATAACTGAAAAAATTCACATATTTTTCACCATTCAATTTTGACCACTTGTAAAGAATTGAAAAAAAAAAAATTGCTAAATTGCACAAAGTTTGGTCAGATATATTGTTGGTGTATGTTCTAACCATGACATTAACATTGCAGGAAATCAAGGCCATCATCCCGTCACCAGACCTGACAAGGATGGAGGACAAGCTTCACCAGGCAGAAAGGAACATCTATAAATCTTTTCCTAACACCAGATGGGGCTCCAGTAGGGATGCCTTCTGTTTCAGGAGGGTGAAGACACATCTCGAGGCATTCAAGGTGCATTATGTTTCTGACTATATGTAAAGGCCAGAACATTGTCACTTATCAGTAAATTGGCCAGTGTTTATCAGTATAATTTTTGGCCTTATTTACGCTTCAATTTATGATTTGTAAGGTCAGTTTTACTTTAGGTCAGTGCCATTAGCTGACATTAGTAGTGAAGTGTTTTCCAGTTTAATTACAAGTGTGCCTTTGCAATGGAGATTAAGCAAACAAAAAAACCCAGAATGAGGGCTGGTTAGTTTTAAAAAGTTTGGTGAAGTATGCTTCAGAATAATCATGTTCCCTTATGATTGGATTAAATATGTGAATGTCAACTTATCCTTCTTAGTTATTTTAATGAAGATGCTTTATTAATTCAGAAATATTATAATTTCAGAAAGTTTGTCTTGATCAGGGCCGTGTCCTTTTGGCTGCCCAAGCCTATGAGGCAGTAATAAACTACTGTTTGATAGCCTGGGAGTATGTGGAAAGACTTCCCAACTGGGATGACTATGCCCATAATAAGAGCAAGGAGCAGTGTTTTCGGACATTGTCGTCACAGTGCATGCAGGCAATCAAGAAAGCCACTCTGGAGAAGGAAAAATATAGGGAATATAAAGCAAGGTCAGTTTTAAAATTTGTGGTTCACATAGAAGTTCCTGTTTGACAATAAATTTGTATCAGGGGCAGACAAATACCGAAATGTTTAAAGGGAAATTAGCCCGTTTTCCATTTCTTGTTAAGTGATGAAAAAATTTTCTAAATGTACACATATTGTATAGTTTTTCTTAAATTTTCAGATTACAAGATGCTACAGAGGCAAGTGAAGAGATTCATCCAGTGGTACTTCATCTAGACAAAATTTTAGACAAGTTACCCTGAAGATGTTCAGCTTATTTCAAGGCAGCCATTTTGAGATAAGTTCAGTGCTTTTAAGGAACCGAGGCAGCAGTTTGCAAAAGAAAGAACGTCTTTGAAAAATTTGTGATGATGATTATTATTTTTATTATTAAACAATGGTGCCATTTGCACTAGTAAGTAAACTGTGGTCCAGTAAACCTGGACAGAACTGTAGTTGAATAAACCCTCTTCTTTGCATTTACATCAGTTAGGACGATTGCCTTTGTCAGATGTACTTCTGTTAAGCATATGCACTTTTGTTATCATTAAAAAGTTGTGGGAGTAGGGAAGATATTTCTACCTCAACTTGCCCCAATTTCCCTTAACACCATTTCATCCTTACAGCTTCCCTCAAACTTTTTTGTGTATTTTTTCCTCTGGCTGATATCGTGGAGTTTATGTATTTATGATATATGAGACAAAAACTTGATTGTTATCACAGAGATGCATTTCCTATTTCTGTTATGAAATAAAATGTGTGGTTGTGGGTTCAGGTTGCGAAGGATGCTCCCAAAAATGTGTCATTTTTGAGTGTTGTTACAGTTAGTAGTTCAATTTTTATTCAAAGCATTCAATTATATTTCATTTTACAAATATGTTAAAGAATATATGAAAGAACAAGAAATGTAAAAATTATATTGAATTGCCTTAAAATCCAGATGTAGATATGTATTGAGCTGGGGGTATTCCTTCATGCTCAGAATTTATCAATATAATTGAAAGGGATATATAAATGGATTTTCTTGATGATATTTGCTAAAAGGGAATTAATGTTATTTCAAGTTTACAGAGAGGGTAGAGGATGTAATTCTTAATTTTTGATTAAATATTCATTTTGCACAAAATGTGCAGTGGGCTTGTAAATATATTAACATAGATTCTACATGTATATTTTTGTAGATGGTTATAAAATGTCCCCCAATCAAATAAAGAAATACATAATTATTGGAAGTCTTTTTTGATTTGAAATAAATTCTATTGTCAAGCAGTGTTTTAAACTTGCAATAAACATAAGAACCATAATTACATGAGCATAACATTTATTAACACTGTAACAACATTGCAGCAGTACTATGCAATGACATAAATGTGCAGGTTTTTACAGAAGATCATACCTGTGCTGTGTCTTTAAATGATAATAAAATTGATTCACTTGGCTCCTTTGAGAAATATAGTTTTAATATTTGATTAATACTTGTGATAAAATTCATTTTTTGATTCAACTAAAAACTATACAAGTACACAGCAGATAAAAAAATGGAAAAGGTGAGGGCTGACTGAATTTAACAACCTTTGGCATAGACAAGAAGGTTTAGCCAATACCAATAGTGTTGTAGGCAAGTAATGCACTGTGCTGTTTGCATGGTTTAATTTGTCTAATATAGTATGTAATAGTTTAACACTGGACGGCGTCCTTTCTGCGACCATGAAATTTGGCATCGCTGTGGTCTTAATAAGGAGGCAGGAGCATTGGTTTTGTATCAGAATGACTGCTCAATGATCGGCCAGTTGTCAGCACGTAAAGTATTATAATTTTTTAACTCTCAAGTGGGGCTATACTGCTGGACGCAGATAGGACGCCGTCCAGTGTAAAGGGGGCTTAAGTCATGAATTTTGAGAAAAAAATTGAGATCTGAAAAGAAAGCATGCTAACTGTATGGAGAATAAAATAACAATTCACTGCATTTTAGCAACACTGCAAAGAGAAGTCTGAACTTGAAGCACCATTCATGGTTTCATCCAATAAACATTTTACAATTTTTTAACATCATTTGATTTAGTTTTATGACATACATACTCAGAGATACCACAAATAGACTAAGGGCTTTGTGTGGTATCAAAGAATAAGAAAAAAAATAAAATATTGCACATGCCCATATTAATCTAACAAGCCAAATGCAAGAAATTACTAAAGCAAAGATCCATATATGCTTAGCCTTAACTAAATTCAAACAAATGTGTGAATCCTTACCTTCGAATTCTAAACCCTCGGTGTCTCTACTGCACTGCTCAATTTTGAGGTAACTTCCAAACTCTTAAATTTACCGAGTGACTTTGTTTGACATACATGCAGGTTCAGTTAAAAATCAGCAAGATTATCTTTACGTGATGTAACTGATTTTTTCTTTTTATTTATTTATTGTAACTTGGCAATATTTTCCCCCTTCTATGCCAAACGGTGTATTGTCAAAACTTACTTACCGGGGAGTTTTATTTAGAATTTCTTTGTTTAATGTCTTGATAATTACCATCCTTGATGTCTAGTTCTGTTAAAGAAAAATGCTTTACCCTTTAAACCAGCACACAGCTGGCTATTTTACTCTTTGAGAGCTAAGCATACATGGATCCCAGCTGTGTAATAAGAATAATAGTAATACTAATACCAATACAACATCACATTTAACTAACATTCAACTAAGAAAAAAAAAAAAAAAAAAAACTAAAGGAGCTTAAAGCCTCAGGAGGCAAAAATATCACCAAGTGTTTGCCAAGGTCAAACTATCATTCTAAAAGGAATGTATAATAAATCACATCACATACTTATTACCTAGCCAAAGTAACTGCACAATTATGGCAATGGACAAAACATTTCAGGTGATTATAATTTAATCATCACAAACTAAGATAGTACTGAGTACTATCATCATAAATTCAGTGGTATAAACTTTGCACCAAAAGTAATATCATGGTCAATAACAAATTTATGTGTACAAATTTCAGAATTCATCAAAACACTTCTCAAATGTATCAAACTTATATATCCAACTTGACTTTGCAGGTTTTAACACAGAGCTCAATTAGAATAGTGTTGTTTCAATACAGACATTCCACAATGTAATAAGCAAAAATTTACAGAAACGTATGAAAGCAGATGCACTGTTCCTAAATGAATGCAAATCATTCTATAAACTGAAGATTGTAAGTTACTTTGACTAGTATATAAATTACTAGTCATAAGTCATCAGCTTGCAGAAAAAATTGTGACCAAGACACTTCAAGATACATTAAATAATAGTAAATAATTTCAAAAACATCCATTCTTTCACTTTTCAAATTGCATGCCATCTGGGCCTGAGAACCTTCTGGCCCAAGTCCAATTTTCAAAAAATATTAATTAAATTAACAGATTGAAATTAAACAGGCTTGCTATAACAGATAAGGACTAAAGAAAGGAATTTTCAAAGGGTTGTTAAAAAAAGTCTTCTGAATTTAGTTTGAGAATTTATAAAACCAGTTGGAGAAAATGTTACAGCTGAAAAAAATCCACTGCCCCAGTCAGGCCAGTAACTGACAGCGTTTCAGAACTTTCACCATCCAGCTCCAATTTTTTCTGGCATTAACAGTCGGGTCAGTTGTTAATGATGCAGACGGATAACGTATGCTAAGAGATTGTCTTCTTAAATATGTTTAATAATTATACACAACATTTTTGGAAGAAAGTAGTGGCAAATGTGTGTACCTTAAAATCTACTGTAAATCTTAGACAAGGACATGAATAAAATATCATATCAATGCAGATACCAAATCTTTGACACATGCACTGGCTGATTGCAATCCACTTCTATATGCTGTGAACCGCTATCCTCCTCTAAATCAACACCGTGTAATATTGGCATTCAGGCCCGTAGCCAGCAATTTCAAGTGGACCTTTTCCCATAAAAACTTAATGTACCTAGATCAAATTTTACCCAGAGTAGACCTATTCCCAGCAAAAGGGGCGGTTCTTTCGAACCCCCCGAACCCCCCCTGGCTAGGGGCCTGCCATTCCTCACCAATTATGGCCAGATGCTTCTAAACTGGACCCCATTTCACAAAGAATCCTTATCTAAACTAATTGAAAGATTCACTTTAAGAATTTTTTCTATGTCAACAAGGGCAATACCAATTTATCTCCACTGCAGAATTTTCTAAAATACGTTCTTGACTAAATGTCTAAAAAGCACCAGAATTTTAAAAGCTGCCCTTCTTGTTTAAACTANATGTCTTTGAAAAATGTCTGATGATGATTATTATTATAATTATTAAACAATGGTGCCATTTGCACTAGTAAGTAAACTGGTCCAGTAAACCTGGACAGAACTGTGGTTGAACAAACCCTCTTCTTTGCATTTACATCAGTTAGGACAATGATTGCCTTTGTCAATCGTACTTCTGTTAAGCATATGCACTTTTGTTATCATTAAGAAGTTGTTAACATTGTGGGATTAGGGAAGATATTTCTACCTCAACTTGCCCCAATTTCCCTAAACACCATTTCATCCTTACAGCTTCCCTCAAACTTTTTTGTGTATTTTTTCCTCTGGCTGATATCGCGGACTATTGTGGTTCATTTAGAACTGCTCCCTCGGTACAGGTTGCAAAGGATGCTCCCAAAAATGTGTCATTTTTTAGTGTTGTTACAGTTAGTAGTTCAAATTTTATTTGAAGCATTCAATTATATTTCATTTTACAAATATGTTAAAGAATATATGAAAGAACAAGAAATGTAAAAATTATATTGAATTGACTTAAAATCCAGATGTAGATATGTATTGAGCTGGGGCTATTCCTTCATGCTCAGAATTTATCAATATAATTGAAAGGGATATATAAATGGATTTTCTTGATGATATTTGCTAAAAGGGAATTAATGTTATTTCAAGTTTACAGATAGGGTAGAGGATGTAATTCTTAATTTTTGATTAAATATTCATTTTGCACAATATGTGCAGTGGGCTTGTAAATATATTAACATAGATTATACATGGATATTTTTGTAGATGGTTATAAAATGTCCCCCAATCAAATAAAGAAATAAATAATTATTGGCTGTCTTTTTTGATTTGAAAAAATTCTATTGTCATGCAGTGTTTTAAAGTTGCAATAAACATAAGAACCATAATTACATGAGCATAACATTTATTAACACTGTAACAACATTGCAGCAGTACTATGCAATGACATAAATGTGCAGGTTTTTACAGAAGATAATACCTGTGTTGTGTCTTTAAATGATAATAAAATTGATTCACTTGGCTCATTTGAGAAATATAGTTGTAATATTTGATTAATACTTGTGATAAAATTCATTTTTTGATTCAACTAAAAACTATACAAGTACACAGCAGATTAAAAAAATGGAAAAGGTGAGGGCTGACTGAATTTAACAACCTTTGGCAAAGACATGAAGGTTTAGCCAATACAAATAGTGCTGTAGGCAAGTAATCCACTGTGCTGTTTGCATGGTTTAATTTGTCTAATATAGTATCAGCTAAGTCATGAATATTGAGAAAAAAATTGAGATCTGAAAAGAAAGCATGCTAACTGTATGGAGAATAAAAAAACAATTCACTGCATTTTAGCAACACTGCAAAGAGAAGTCTGAACTTGAAGCACCATTCATCGTTTCGTCCAATAAACATTTTACAATTTTTTAACATCATTTGATTTAGTTTTATGACATACATACTCAGAGATACCACAAATAGACTAAGGGCTTTGTGTGGTATCAAAGAATGAAAAAATAAATAAAATAAAAATATTGCACATGCCCATATTAATCTAACAAGCCAAATGCAAGAAATTACTAAAGCAAAGATCCATATATGCTTAGCCTTAACTAAATTCAAACAAATGTGTGAATCCTTACCTTCGAATTCTAAACCCTCGGTGTCTCTACTGCACTGCTGAATTTTGAGGTAACTTCCAAACTCTTAAATTTACCGAGTGACTTTGTTTGACATACATGCAGGTTCAGTTAAAAATCAGCAAGATTATCTTTACGTGATGTAACTGATTTTTTCTTTTTATTTATTTATTGTAACTTGGCAATATTTTCCCCCTTCCATGCCAAACGGTGTATTGTCGAAACTTACTTACCGGGGAGTTTTATTTAGAATTTCTTTGTTTAATGTCTTGATAATTACCATCCTTGATGTCTAGTTCTGTTAAAGAAAAATGCTTTACCCTTTAAACCAGCACAGAGCTGGTTATTTTACTCTTTGAGAGCTAAGCATACATGGATCCCAGCTGTGTAATAAGAATAATAGTAATACTAATACTAATACAACATCACATTTAACTAACATTCAACTAAGAAAAAAAAAAAAAAACTAAAGGAGCTTAAAGCCTCAGGAGGCAAAAATATCACCAAGTGTTTGCCAAGGTCAAACTATCATTCTAAAAGGAATGTATAATAAATCACATCACATACTTATTACCTAGCCAAAGTAACTGCACAATTATGGCAATGGACAAAACATTTCAGGTGATTATAATTTAATCATCACAAACTAAGATAGTACTGAGTACTATCGTCTTAAATTCAGTGGTATAAACTTTGCACCAAAAACAATATCATGGTCAATAACAAATTTATGTATACAAATTTCAGAATTCATCAAAACATTTCTCAGATGTATCAAACTTATATCCAACTTGACTTTGCAGGTTTTAACACAGAGCTCAATTAGAATAGTTTGTGTTGTTTCAATACAGACATTCCACAATTTAATGAGCAAAAATTTACAGAAATGTATAAAAGCAGATGCACTGTTCCTAAATGAATGCAAATCATTCTATAAACTGAAGATTGTAAGTTACTTTGACTAGTATAGAAATTACTAGTCATAAGTCATCAGCTTGCAGAAAAAATTGTGACCAAGACACTTCAAGATACATTAAATAATAGTAAATAATTTCAAAAATATCCATTCCTTCACTTTTCAACTTGCATGCCATCTGGGCCTGAGAACCTTCTAGCCCAAGTCTAATTTTCAAAAAATATTAATTAAATTAACAGAATGAAATTAAACAGGCTTGCTATAATAGATAAGGACTAAAGAAAGGAATTTTCAAAGGGTTGTTTAAAATAAGTCTTCTGAATTTAGTTTGAGAATTTATAAAACCAGTTGGAGAAAATGTTACAGCTGAAAAAAATCCACTGCCCCAGTCAGGCCAGTAACTGACAGCTTTTCAGAACTTTCACCATCCAGCTCCAATTTTTTCTGGCATTAACAGTCGGGTCAGTTGTTAATGATGCAGACGGATAACGTATGCTAAGAGATTGTCTTCTTAAATATGTTTAATAATTATAGACAACATTCTTGGAGGAAAGTAGTGGCAAATATGTGCACCTTAAAATCTACTTTATCTCTTAGACAAGGACATGAAGAATGTGAATCAATTATCTCAATAAAATATCATATCAATGCACATACCAAATCTTTGACACATGCACTGGCTGATTGCAATCCACTTCTACATGCTGTGAACCCCTATCCTACTCTAAATCAACACCATGTAAAACTGGCATTCCTCACCAGATATGGTCAGATGCTTCTAAACTGGCACCCATTTCACAAAGAATCCTTATCTTAACTAACTGAAAGATATACTTTAAAAATCTTCTCTATACCAACAAGGACAATACCAGTTTATCTCCACTGCAGAATTTTCTAAAATATGTTCTTGACTAAATGTCTAAAAAGCACCAGAATTTTAAAAGCTGCCCTTCTTTAAATTGTGTTTCTAGCACTAAACTTCTTAAATGCCTACATGGCAAGTTGCACATCATTAAAGAGTAACACTTTGTATACAATTAGTACAAAAATTTTTCTTCCATTTCTTTAATTAGTCACATTTGACATCTTTTATTACACAAAATACCAAATGTAAACTATTTATTCCCTTTTTCAAGTAGGCTGTCCATGGGGGTAAGAAGATGCATGTGAAAATGTCCAAGTATGATTGAAGGAGTGATGACATCAATTTATGGCAATGGCCTGTTGAATATCCTCTACATTCAAATTTTAAATATCAAAATGACTCACTGGAAAGCAGTCAAAATGACTAACAGTGACTATATTTCAACTTTATCCTATTTCAATAAAGATTCAGTCCATCAAAGGACATAACATGCATCTATATGGAGGATTAAAATACTGGGGGTCAGAGGTCACCAGAGGTCAATCTGAAGGTCATGTCATGTTGAGCAAGCTTTCCAGCAGCGAGATATGTATGTTATACAGGCCCGTAGCCAGGGGGGGTTCGGGGGGTTGGGGGGGTTCGAAAGAACCACCCCTTTTGCTGGGAAAAGGTCCACTCTGGGTTAAATTTGATCTTGTCACATGAAGTTTTTATGGGAAAAGGTCCACTTTTTCAGAAAAAGAACCCCCCTTTCAAAATTGCTGGCTATGGGCTTGTTATATCTTTGTCTTTAAATTCCTGGGAACTTGTCTCCTGGGGGTCTTTACTCCAAACATATTTACAATATGGTCTCTTTGTAACTTTATTTTTAAAAGACTGGAATTTTGTCTCTTGGGGTCCTCACTAAGTCATCATCCAAGGTGAGAAGAATCTGAAAAAAAAAAAATAATAATTACAAGCTAGACTGATGACTGCAATTTTAAGATATAACTGGACTTTGAGTTTTCCTGGTAACAAAAAAAAAAAAAAAAAAAAAAAAAAAAAAAAAAAAAAAAAAAAACAAAAAAAAAAATAAAAAAAAAAAAAAAAAAAAAAAAAAAAAAAAAAAAAAAAAAAAATGCACCAAATGAAACATTGCAACTGTTTTATAGCAAGAAAGACATTGTGCAGATTTCTGACCAATATTTAATATGTCTACTACATAAAATGAGAGAAACAATAAAAAATGAAATATAAACTGATGTGTGTGTCCTGATGAAAGATATATATATATATATATATATATATATATACCTCGAGTAAATTTTCAACTTTTCATTTCCAATACCAACTTTTTCAAAGTGCACGTGTGACAGCTTGTGTTGCAACACTTGTCTATTTACACTTGAGAACAGAGACCATCACTGAACAAGGACCTAGGTAAGCATAACCTGTCTCATATATGGGACAGTACTTTAGTGAGCAGCTCTCACTCCCTTGTTTACTATACACTGTCTCCTGACATTTGTACGTGTGATTGATGAAGTCCCAAGTGTTAGAGTGAAAGCTTTCACAGGTATGCTTTCCAATAGTTGATGAAGGAAAGTTTACTCTACATGATATGTGTGTGTGTGTGTGTGTGTGTGTGTGTGAGAGAGAGAGAGAGAGAGAGAGAGTCTCACCATAAATGACAGAAAGAGGGCAGTAGCTGACAGGAAGTGCCACACGTCATGTTGGTCGTAGAACTGCAGTAGCATGCATGGTTGGTTACCTTCTCGAGACTGAGCAGGGGTCAACTGGAAAAATATATCAACCTCTCTAAATATCATTTCCTTTTGCATAAATTAAAGTAATTTGTGACATATTGATCTAGAGATTGGTCTCTTTTACAAATATGACAACTAGTGAGAACAACAGAATTACACAATCCCACTAACACACAAGTAATTTTATCATCTGACAAGTATGTATGCATTAAGACAGATAATTTAAATCAAACAAAGACTGACAAAATACTACAGCCATCTAAAAAGTTCTGTGTCAATGTATAAAATGATTCCAGGACAATTTGATTAATCCACCCAACCCAAGAACCCCCACCCACCCTGACAATTTTCCTCTCCCATCCCAAAGAAAATATGTTTTAAATCATTTTTTATAATGATCTATTTAAAGCATTTATACATTTCCTGTGTATTTTAATCCTGATTGTGGATTCCTATCTATAGACAGAAATATTGGCCATTTTATAAATTGAGATTATCTGTTTACTTCACCTCTACCTGTTGGAAATGCACCATGATTAAAGGCAGGAAACTAGATAAAGAGGGGCAGGGGAGTAAAAACCACTAGTTTGTCAAAGGGACACCTGGATGATTTAGACTTTTGTCAAAAAACCACATGGCAAAAGTGTCTGTTCACCAGTCTGACACGAACAGGCAAAAGCAAGGTTATTAAAATGGCAAGTTGGCAGAACAAAATATCACTATTATATCTTTATATCATATTAAATTATTCTTAATATCATTTTGTTTACTGCTAATATCATAATAGTGAATAAATTCATATGCATCCCGTGTATGTATTTACCTCCCATGAAGTCAGTCTGGCCATGAAAAACCAAAGAGCAAAACCCCAAGTGATGCCAGCCAGCAAGATGAAACAGCAAGGAATCAGCATGATCTTTTCTTTGTGGCGAATCTGAAACCAGGAAAGCATTTGTATTCTTCAAATTTTGAAGGTGGTCCTATGTGCAAGTTGTTGTTTTATAAACATAACATAGATGCACTGATTACAAATTATTACATGCCAATTATACACTTTGGTGCTCTCCGCCTCTCTCTCTCTCTCTCTCTCTCTCTCTCTCTCTCTCTCTCTCTCTCATCAATACCTTCATTGCTATATAAAAGGCAGTATACAGAAGCAGGTTGATGATAAATATGGCCAACAGGTAGGATGCAAAGTCCTTGGGGCGCTCAATTACACCATAAAACGCCCTGGAAATACAAAGCAACAGATCAAAATTGATAATATGGTGCAGTATTAGGCATAGGTACACACACTTCTGTATTTGTCAGTTTCTGTCTGACAAATATAATAAAAAACTAAATAAAAGTGTATATTCCAGGAAAGAATTCAATCAGTATTCAAGAAGAAGAATGTTTACTGTACAGTAATAGTTTTTTCATACAACAGTTGAGTTTGGGGTTCCAATACATATATGCATCACTTATATTAAACATTAAAGTGAATTTTACTCGTTTGAAGAAACTATAAGTTATACTGCAACTTTAAACAAAAACATATTTACCCTACCTAGATGGCATGATAATTATATTTATCAAGGTACTTACAAAGCCCAGTTACACAGATTGCCAATCACCAGCAGCACGGCTCTGTCCACGTACATGGGGCGCACACACTTCAGCCGATCAATGATAACAACATTCCAGATACGTTTAAATACGCCCAAATCTGAAATATAGGAATAAAAAAGTAACAAGTGGAAATAAAATATATGAAAAACTACATGCACTGATAAAAAAGAATGTAAGTAAAATATATTTCTTACACAGTCTCCCCAAGTCAACAGTTTGACTATTCAGTAATAACTCAACAATGTTACCATGCTGACCAATTATGTTGCAGAATAAGTGTTGTCTTGCAATGACAACATGTTTGGGACAACTGAATTGCTCTAAATTTGCAGGTAATTACAGTAATCATCACAGACAGTCCACACTGGCAGGACATTACCACAGACAGTTATATTTGACCTCCAACTACCAGTATGAAAGAGGCCACATTTTCATCAACATTGGTCAGTCTACTTTTTTAAAAATACATAAGGAAATCCATCACACAATCTCATTTAATATACAATTTGAACTGAATCTGGATCTCGCAATTTTTCTAATTATAATGAATTTTTATATTAATTGCCTTTTTGTGGTGGAGGTCTGTGTTCTAGGAATAATCTATAGTTTTGAAGTAAAAGGGTGATTTGCGAATTACACAATTTTCATCTGTATTCATTATCCTACATGTATATTGTTCAGCACAACTGGTGGCCTTCATGTATAGTTTTTAAAACATGCACTATTTCATTCTTCTAAACATTTACCAAACTAGACATACCATTATACAAGCATGGATTGATAAATGTAATATTATATTTCACTAAGTACAAACACAAGAAGTGCAAGATCTAAATGTACCAGTCCTGTTGTCTTTCTAGTGTTGATCTATATATGTTGTAATAATGTTAGAACTCGGTGAGCCATGGATTAAATCACAGCAATTTCAGAGTAATTCTATGGAACTGTATCCCATACATCATATGCAAATAACAGGGATTGACAAAGACAACACCTAGAAACAGAATCATAGAAATGACTTAAAAAAATGACACATAAAATGATACATATAAAAGTAAAAGTGTCACAGATGTGACAAATACCCCTGCCAAGACACTCCCATATTGTGGCCATTTTTCCTCTGGGGGCACACAAAATTCACTGATGAATAGAGTAGTGTTGAGGATAGACAAGCTTTAATTGCTATAGGACTCAAGATAACAGACAATTTCAAAAAAATTATTCTGGAAAAAATGCAAGTGCCCACATGTAAGTACCATGTGTAAACATCTTGCTTTACCAGAATATTTATGTGTTCCTGAGATTAGAAAAACATACCTGATGACCTATATGAAAGAATTCATCAAATGACCCTTAATTTCAAATGAAATGCTGCACTTGCATAGAAAACTGGGTCCAAGGTCAAATTTCAGAACTTTCTATTTTGTACACTGGTCCCATACAATGTCCCTACTGAGTATCATCACCCTACATAAAAAACTGGGAAAAAAAGGAATAGGATTTACCATTACTTTTTTTTTTTACAAATTTTAAAATAGGCGGAATAACCTCGAGTGAGGGCCTTGACCTTTAACCCGATGGCCTGAATAACCACAGTGCACATATCTACTCCAGTCATGACCAATATCCTAACCAACTATCAGGACCCTTGGAACAAACAAAGCAAAAGCAAATTTCAAATTGGGTACAGATGGACACCCAGAGGATAGGACAACTAGCCAGCAGTGTGGTTCTAGTGTACTCCCTAAACATCTGTATGTGGAGGTATAAAAAAGCAATTTTATAAACAAAATGGCTGAAAACTGTCTTATTGACTACTTGGAAACACGGCATGCATATGCTTCAATTAAGGCATAAAAAAGACAAGGGTACAAGCAGAAACTTACATGTACACCCTGCAAAGCACTTGTTCATTTTGTTTTCATATCAATTGTTAGCACACTTGTGTTAATATCATATCTAGCTACATCCCATAAAACATCCAGTTAAAATGAAAACATAATTAAAACAGCATGGCCCAAGGCATATATAGGTGCAAAATAATAAATTGAAATAAAAGAGGATTTCAACATAAAAAACAATTCCATTCAAACACCAATCAACTTACTTGCTGCTGTAGCAGAATTCCAGAAAAGAAAATATAATGCAATGTCATTTTACTTCTTTTTTAATGTTAAAAAGATAACCCAAGCTTAGTAACTGTTTTTACTGACATTAATGAGTAACACTGATCCCTATATATAAACATAAAAAAATGTTTAGAGTATAGAATATACAGTTGAGCTCAAAGAGAATGACTGTTTTGTGTGAGTGTGAATGTATCATAAACAGGAAGACTATTGAAAAGATTACTGAAAATGCTAATGATTATGACATGCTCACACCAAATCATTTGTTGGATGTATGAGAGATCCAATAAATTTGGAAATTTGACATTATTGACACTTTTAAGCTCTGGAAGCATGTCCAATCTTTGGTGCTGCATTTTTTTGTAACAGAAAGATTTGCAAATATTTGCTTGCAGTTCAGACACTTTGGAAGAGTTTTTAAGTTAGAGAAAACAGGCTGGTGATATAGTTCTTGAAGTGGACATCTGGGACAGAGTATAGAACCCATCACTGAACTGCAAAAGAGGACTGAGATTTAATCACTCCCACATCTAGGGGAGGGTTCTTCAGTTGACAGCCAGTTGTCTGACCAGTTATGTGACCAGCACATTGAGTCAGTGACATTTCCCTATTGAAGGTAGTTGGTACTCATTGCAATGTTGGATCTTTATCTTATTACTTCAAGTCTAGCATTATAAAAACATTATATAAAACACTGCTTCATTTTGAAATAATATTGCTGGCATATATGCCAATTAGTTTCATAAATAGTTTTATACATATTTGACTAAACAAAATGAAACTATCACATATATCAGTTATAATTGGATGATAACCAGTTTCCTGACCTGCTTTTTAAGAGGAGTAATCCCTGTGAGTTTGAAGCTGTCAACATTACATCCCAGTACAGCAGTAATAGAAGAAAGGTGCTCATTTCACTAACTGCTCTGGCACCATGGACAGACACAGCTGATAGCAATATCCACATACAGACACTTTATATATATATATATATATATATATATATATATATATATATATATATATATATATATATATATATATACAGAAAACAATGAAGCCTTCACGTCTTCATCTTCCATCTTCCCATAGATCTACAGACACTGTGTCTATGTATATATACAGAAAACAATGAAGCCTACCACTCACCCATCTTCCATCTTCCCATGTAGTAGATCTCCACTGTGAACACCATACAAGCCAACATGTGCACCACAGTCAGCACTATCCAGAATAACAATGACCCATAGACCTGAAACAAACGAAAAAAAAAAAGATTGATTATACTAAATAAAATTCTTGTCAGACCTTTATATTTATTAAGTTTTAGCAATTTTCTCTTCATCAAAAATGATACCTTATCCAAAACTGCTGTAAAAACCCTTATTGCCTTGTCAATTCATTTTTCAATCCTAATTGGACTATGTGTCAAGTAATAAGCAAGAATCATATATAACAGTAACTGTAGGAGGGAATGGGAAAAATGCATACAACATTTTGTTCAACTTAATGCATAAAATTAGGTTCATAAATGACTGTCTGACAAATATCATCATTTATATTATAAACATTATATCAAATGTCTCTTACCACCCCAATGACAGCTATAAAGATGACAAAAGCCAGGCAGAAGTAGCTGGAGTAAGCTGTAGCACTGATATCTGGATGACGACTTTGATAGATCTTCAACATGCACAGTACAGCTATCACGTACATAAAGGATGTGTCTAAAAAACCATAACAAAAGTATGAATTCAAATTAAATGTCAACCTTAAATAATTTGACATGGCATCAAAATGACTATAGACATTTTCTCAGAGATTAACTGCATGTCTGGATAACTAAGGTCACTGCAAGTCAGCCAGACTTGGTAATATAAGCCAGCTAGTTCATTTTAACCATAAGAAAATTATGTTCACAAATAATGTTCACAACTTATCTATATTTTCATGTCAGTATTCTATATCAGCAATCATGAGCTTACCAAACTGAAAATTGGTGTAGCTGGGGCATACATGATAACATCCACTCATGAACCCCTCCATGGCAAGTGCCAGTCCCATAGCATAAAACAGTCCAAAGTGCTGAGGTATACCATACTCCTGAAACATAATTTTATACTATCACAATGGACATTCACCCAGAGAGAGCCCTAAGTCTCACAAATTAGCATAAAATCAAGTAAGATTTGACTGATTGCAGTAAGAACTTTCAGTCACCAATTGTTCTTCATCACCTGGGAGTCTGGGAGTAAACAGTCAATACAGTTTGGCCAGAGAACTGAACATAGTTATCAAATAGTGATGGCATCTTGTAAATTTAAAGTGTTTGGTAAGCAGGTGCTGCACTTCAGTTTTAGGGATTTGTGACTGCCATATTAAACGCAAGCTGAAGGATTTTACCATAAGTTTTGAATGTCAAAGTGAGTTTGATATATTTTTTTTATAGATGAATTTCCTGATGCAGTGAAATCGATCCAACAAGTTGAACCCTTCTTGCTAAGAGGTTAACCCTACTTCAAACTACCAAGAGATGAGGACACAGGTCTTTGTAGTTTACGAGGGTATGTGGTAACAGTGGCTTGTATCAGGAGCAAGCAGAGCTGGCTGACCTTGAGTAAAAACCATGAGTACCACCAGTGCTCACACGGGTGGCACAATAAAATGCAAAGTATATAACAACTGTTATAGTATTCAAAGTTAATAATTATTCAAGTTACAAATGATAAAAACAATTCAATCATCCTCTTTTTACATGAATTAGAGAAATCTAGAAAAGTATAAATGCAATATTCAGGGAATTTTTGGGTACAGCTAACAAGAAGACAAATATCTGTGTGAGAGGAAGCAAAACTGTTATTGCTATGATCATAATGAACAGGAGGTGCATCATAAGCTTTAAGAGAAGATCACTTAAAGAATATAAATGTATCAAATGTATCAAATAATATAATTAATTTAATATGCATCAGCATTTCAATTGCCTATAATTTTGATTAACATTCATTTAGAAAGTGATTTTGTAGAATAAGAAGAAAAATATAAACCATCATTATTCTAGATTGGTACTACAGTCATTGAAATGACAGCAAAAGAAAGCACATGACAGAAAACATTCAGAATTTTATTCTGAGAAAATTTTCAAATTAAACTTAAAGAAAAATCAAGGATATCATGATGCTATTATTCCCCACCACCCCTACAACAAAGACCTTGATTTGGAAAAAAAATATGGTCTGATTTGGGGAAGATTGCAGAGCTTCCATGGGCCCTGTGCAGATGTCTTTTCTTTTTTTTTCCAGCTAGAGATCCAAGAATGACACAAGTACAGTCATTATACCAAGAGACTCACAGAAACAGATTCAATGATCCACAGTATATGGGCAAGATGGATGGCAAAAGAACTTTTTCAACTGGACAGCAAAGCTGAGAAATGTACAACCAACAAACAGAATAGGTCAATTGCACTGAGTCTCTTAAACATAAACAAGCACATTCCAGTAAACAACTTTATGTTTACAGTAATGGACATTATGAAATGTTCATCTGACTTCTAAAACTAGACTGTTTCTTTTGCACTGAGCTGAGTATTTTTTACAAGTTTTCAAGATGTACTAAATGCAAAATGACTGTACTTCTATGGTTTTGCAAACAATGTCAGGTGAAAGAGTAATTCCAGACAATAACAGCCACCCAAGCCTATTGGTAAAAAAGTATGAAAGTGCAGTGTTGGTAAAACTGTGCAATTCACATGACTCTTGATGATGATTTTCAAACTCAATCTGCCAAACTGCAAACACAAATAAACCTGTTTGATTCAAAATAAGATGAAACATATGATTTGGTAGTTATGATCAGAAGGTTGCAAATAAAATTAATACAATAATTATCAAGAAATATAATGAAATCAATCCAATAATGTTGATTTTCAAACTCAACCAGTCTTTTTGCAAAACAAAACCTCATAAATTTGAAGTAAGACAAAAATATAGATAAAAGTAATCATTTTAAGTCGGGGTGTTCACACACAGTCTAAGATAGGAGTTGCAACAACTTGAACCACATCCACCTTTATAACTGCTGGAAATTAATTATAATCTATACATTATCAATAATAAATATCATCAACAAACCTGATTTGTCTGATGTAAATCACTGATATTATGCCAAAATATTATTCAATATTTGATTTATAGGGAAAATCTGAGGTTAATTAGCAAAGAATATAAGCAAGCCTTGCACACCTTCTTTGCTCCTTACCTTCTTCCTGCGTTGCTGTCTATTAAGAGCCGCAGCAGCATCAACATGCCAAACATTTGTCTAAAATAGCATGCACTTATAGTGGCACTTACACTTAGTACTCCAAAGTTTTGACATTTAAAAATGAACATAAACACGCCTAGTCTATAAAATAACATATACGTACAGGAGAAAATACAACAGGGTGGGACCAAAATAAAGATACCAAAAACAAGAACCTCAAGGAAGTTCCTGAACATTCAAAACACTTAAATTGAGAAAAATTCTGTATAAGAACATCCTTTTTCTTCTTTACCATAGATTGCCTAACTTAAAACCAGTCATGAATTTGGTGTCAATTTTTAAGACAAGTTCACTGTAGAAGTAATCAGCCTGGTGCTTACACAACAGTGGCCCACCTGACTGCTGCCATCAACCAGACAACACCCAGGCACTGTCTCTAGTATGTACTAATAACTTGATACATTATAAGTTTTCAGGGATGTTAAGAAAACAAGGCCTAAGGTAACATTGGCATCTGGCATGACTGTCTCTTGGTCCATGACTATTACAAATTATTACTCTTAAAACTAAAAACTATTTACTTTTAGAGAATTTTTTCTACAAATGATAAAAAGAATAAATAAATAAATTACAAAGCTGGTGAAGTCAATAAAAATGTATAAGAACAAACAAATATAAAAATAATAATAATCAGTGCACAGTAGAAACAAAAAGTAATGAGGGTGATACAATGTCATACAAGTCTCCAACAACTTCTTACCCTTTCATAAATGTCATTCCTTTCGACAGCTTTCTTGTGCAAATAGTCCCTAAAATAGAGAAAAATCATTTTAGATATAGGAGTTGATCTTAGGTGATATGAAACAAATTTAAACTATGGAGGGTAATCAGAGTCTTTTCCTACCCTGAACTATTCATCTGAAAATCTATTTATCTGGACTAAAAATAATGTCTGTAAACATACAGTGTCCAAGCCATGCCATGAAATCAATATAACTTACCATGATGTAACAAAATTTGCTCAAATACGACTGTCGTAAACCGCAATGCCTGGCATCCATGCGCCAGGTTAGGCCACACTTTTTTATTTTTATGGATGACATCCTCTGGGGACCCCAAAATCGGTGCGAGCGGGCGAAAAAAAAAAAAAACAGTCCAAAAAAAAAAAAAAACTGCTTAAGAAAAGTTATGTTTTCAGTACACAGCTGGAAACACTAATTTACCACAGAAACACGTATCAAACTAACAACATGTCTTTATCCATGCTCTCAAAATATTAAAGCATTGTGAATAGGGCCTACTTCGTAGAAAGGTAAAAAGTCATGAATAGGCCTATATATATGCTGCATATTACCAAATCTATTTAAGGTTATTTTATGCATTCTGTTGGTATAGCAATCAATAAAACAAATATCAAATAAACAGCGTGTCTTTATTTG